AAGAAAAACCAACAAAATGCCAGAAGGCAGAGAAGAAATAAACATAAACAAAATCCGACTCAGGCAACTGACAAGATCGACGATCATCAAAGATTCAGAAATGTAGCCCAAAAAGCAGATGCAACTCTGGTTGCCCAAAGGTCGAAGCAATCAACCCGAGGATACAGAAAGGCATAGTGGCCATCACAGAGCCCTATCATCGCAAAATTAAAACCATTCCGCAAAAATTGATGGTTGCCACCAGGACCATCCACCAAAGGAAGGGAACGATCTGCCAAGCTCATCATCATCGGAAAAACTGCCCAAAAAAATAGCTGTAGCTTCCAGTCAAAAAATACACAAAAAAAATGATTGCCGAATCGTTGCACTATTGAGTCATAAGCTTTCTAGGTTTTGATTTTACAAGTAACAGCATAGTTAACCGCATGGCTAATAGAGTTTGGATTCGACCAAGTATTAGAGAAATGACGATTGTTTCTCTCCCTCCAGAGATGATAAATGATGCAGCTAACTGTAAGTAAATTGAAGTTCTTTTCCCCCACATTAAACGGCTTAATGTTGTGAATGAAATCAAAGACCTGGGCCAAGTTGGGTCCAAGGTAAAATTGTCTAAGCATAGGAAGAGTTGCCATAAGAACGGTATGTAAAAAATCACATTCAAAGAACAAATGGTTGTGGCATTCAGGGAAATTATTGCAAAAAGAACAAATCGGGTTAAACTAGATACCCCTTTTAATAAGAAAATCAACTGTTTTTAATTTGCTAGTAATCACCATCCAAGTATAGCAAGCATACCTAAGAGAATGCTTTTTAAACCAAACGTATTTAAACCAATGAACCTTCTCCAAATGATCATAAAATTGAGAAATAAAATTTTTTAAGACATCAAGAGGAGACCCTTTCCAGAGAATGTTCGAATCAGCAGAAATAGGAACTGCTAAGATAGCAGTAACTAAGGTAGATAGGATAGCCTCTGGGAGTGACAACTGGTTATTAGAAATGAAATCTTTCAAAGAATTCTGAGGGATCAAACTTATGTTAGTCACAAGAGAGTTAACAGCAATATCATTAAGCCAAGGGTCCCAAATAAAAGAGAAATTACAGTCAGGTGACACCAAAAGAGAAAAACATCCTTTAATACTATCAACACAATCACAAATCATTTTCCAGCTTTTAGAGGCGTTAGAAGTAGGATGTTTCCAAGGGGAAACATATTTAGCCTGGAACCATGAACTCCATAAGGAATGGAATTTAAAAAAGAGGTAAATAAAAGAGCAGCTAACCCCATGATAAAGGGAGTCCAGAGATGGAATACCCAAACCTCCAAAAAATTTTGGTTTAGTCGTCTAATTCCAAGCAATTAAGTATAATTTTTTCTCCAGAATGCTACTGTGATAGAGAAACCAAGAGCATAATTTAGAAATTAAAACGTGCTGTTCATCTTAGAAAAAGACAAACAGGGGAAAGTAAATTACTAAATTTGTCAAGAAAATCTTATATGAAGTAAAATTATACTGTAATATTGTCTTACTTCCAGTATTCGGTAGCTTCTAGTTTCAGTAATTCACTTTACAAAAATTTGAAAAACTAAGGCTTCGTTTGGGACAATTTTTTTGGTGCTTTCTAAAAAAGCTTTTTAGTACAAAAATATTTTAAATTAGAAAATTTATACTAAAAAGTTATTTTAAAAAGCAGCACTAAAGCTGTACCAAACGAAGCCTAAACTAGTTGCTTTTAGTTTCAAAGTTCAAACTCCTATGAGCTATGGTAGAGTACAAGACCTTAGCAAATACATAAGTCGGCTTTTTCAAAAGTTGCTTTTAGTTTCAAAGTTCACTTTCTCAGCTACTCTGCTATGCTTCTCTTATTTCAATTTGATTGCAGGTCTTAGCTGAATGAAGACAAGCATCTTCATTTCTAACATTGCAAGTTGTCCATGCGGTGGTTATGTTGGACTTTATGCAGTTCTGCTGTTCTGCTTTTTTAGGCATGCCTTTAGAATGATCATGTAGATATTGATTGTTTCATTAAAAATTATTAGAATTTGTTGTGATAGTTGTATAGTTTTATTGGGGTTATAATATGAAGTCTTAGGTTGTATGTATGAGTGGAATTTTTGTTGATATATGTAAATGCAGCCTGTAAGACTGACTTGAAACTGATTTTTCTTATCCTTGTTCACTGTTAATGGTATTTTTCCTATCACGTGATTGAATTTTATGCTTGTTAACATAAATGGCACATGATTATGGAGAACAATGTCCTGATGACATGGAGTTTGAAACCGAACAAGAGGTTTAAAAAATCTCATTTTTGTTGTTTGGCTGGATTTAGGTCATATTCTTCTTAGAAACGAAATTAAGATCCCAAAGTATTTTTTCTAGGCTATTTATTTTGGGTATTGTTATTAAATCTTTTTGTATCCTTCTCATAATGATAACGGCCAAATGCTAATAATGATGATGATCATTGGAGGCACTCCTCTTAGATGTTCTCAAAGCAAAATTAGGGCCCCAAGTAAAGAGATTTTGTGCTACTTTGTGTTGTCTTGCCTCGCTTTATAAAGGTTCTATGTGGTGAAATATTTTCTCTGTACCATAATATTTGAAATCGGGCTTGTTTGAAATAATAAGGTCATGCATCATCCCCTCTTTTATGGAGTTTTCTATAGAATTTATGTACATGTGATAAAGTTTTGTGGCTTTGAGAAGTGGTGTATCTTGAAGATGTGTAATATCATAATTAGTTGCTATGAAAAAAAAAAATGTATCTACATTTTAGTAAAACAACTTTATAATTTTTAGAAAAAAATGTTTTTAGTACTTGCTCAGCAAAAAATTAAAGAAAGAAATCAGTGTGAAAATTTAATTAAATGAAATATTTTTTAGTAAAAACATTACTTGAAAAATAAAATATTTAAACTTTTAGAAAATTAAAATTAAAAATGATGTTTATCACAAATATATTTACGTCTATTGCAGCACACTGGTAAATTAATACACAACAAAATATTATATCTTATAATCTAAAAAAAAATTATAATAAGATAATGCAATAAATAAATACACTGGTTTTATTTTATAACATCAAATAATACTAATTATTATAAATACACTAGTTGTAATGCCTAAATAAATTATTACAAATACACCACTTTTACTTTACTCTGAATATACCTAATCAAACAAGGGAAACTGTTCTCCTGTATTTATTTTACAAACAACCAAACAGTAACAAAGTATTCGAAATATAATACATTTACTTTACCTTGCATTTACTTTACATTGCATTTCTTTTTCAGGCAACCAAACAACCCCTAAAGCCAAAAAGGGCTGATTACATAATGCATCGATGAGTATTTATCCCTAAGAAAAGTTAATGTACTCAAAATATATCCTTTACCACTAGTAAAAATAAAGCAAATTTTCCTTTAAATCACTTTTCGTTCCTTCCTATTTTGGCTAGTCCATTGTAAAACAAATGAGATATGAAAACTAAAAAAATGAAAGCAATGACTTGGGGAAATCGCCCTTTAATGTGTGCACTTGGAAAAATTATTACATGTGGATGTTATCTGGAGGTGAATCAGGATGCGCCACGTCACCATTTTATTGTGTACCGGTGCTGTGTACCAGATGAAGTGGAGCATCCTGATTTGTCTCCGAACGGTCCGGTGACCGCATGTAATAATTTCTCATGCACTCGAAAAATTATTAAGCTTTCTTTAGCATGAATAGAAAACTCGCCCATCCAAGGGGTAACATGGAACTCAATGAGTAAGCAAGGAACTTGCCTAATTTTTAAATGGCACTCAAGGAACTCGTTTATATAATGAGTAGCAAACAAAAAAAAATGATGGTTATGCTACAATCTTATCTTAACTAGTTGACCAACTTCAAACCTTGATGAGTGATAAAACTCATCTAAAAAGTTCGAGCTTTTGAGAATGAATCGGCTAATCCAATATAAGAGATCGACTAGCTTGGTTGAAGACAAACATGGTCTCAACTCGGGTTCAAGACCTAATGTAGCAAGATTATTACTTGTAGGTTAGTTGCAACACTTAAAATAAACCTGCAGAGAACCGATACCCCTAGAAAGAATGAAAAAAATGTGCTTGATAGGGGTGTAAAAATGTGTTTTCAGGTCTGATTTAGGTCCAACCCGAAACTGATCCACCCTCAATTGATACAACATGAACTCAACCTGATTACATAAATTAGTCATAAACCTGAACCCAGACTCTACCAACCCTAAAATTGGGTCGACTCGAGCCGATAAAGCTGACTCGAGCGAGTGCAAGACCCAACTCGCTCAAAAGCAGGCTGACCTGACCTAACACAATTGACCCGAGTGAGCGCAGAGTAGGCGAGCGCGATGAGAGCTGTGGGGGTTGGGTAGGCGGGTGGGATGCGGTGTGGGAAATAGGTGGAATGCGGTGTGGGAAAAGGAGCGGGCAGGACGATGGGCATGGGTGGGTATGGGTACGTCCATGGCCTCGTGGTGGGTATGGGTTGATACTCAACATCAGAGGACAAACTGATTTACATTACTAATTATCTATATGCATGCAGTATATTACAGCAATCCTTATTACGCAGTGCGCAGCACTGAACCGCGTCGTGACCACGATTAATTTTGATATGTGGTTTGAAAGTTTGTAGTTAGAGAAAATGGCAAAAAACCTCAAGGCCATTAATCCGTGGTAGACAACATTCAAGAAGCGTGAAAATTGGGTGGGTGTGGGTGGGTATGACATGTCGAAAGTCACCATAAGTGGGCACAGCCCGCTAGTGTAGAGCGTGGGTACCCAACCAGGACCCCGTGTAGGGCTCTGCTGCCAGCACGAGCTGCACGGGCCTAAATGTCATATATATATATATATATTAATTTATAAATATTTTAAAAATTATCATTAATAATAATTTATTAAGTTGTGTAAAATAATATATATCCCATAGTAAAATTATTTTATACTTGAATATTTCGAATTATAATCCTCTCCCTTCGGTTGCAGAAGACCTGATAGTTCTGGATGAAGCTGAAGACCATTTCATGGCTCCCCGCATTATCCTCTGTCATAGCCACGGAGGAGCTTCGTCCCCCCCACGTCCAAAAGAAGGACCTTCAACAAAGAAACCAAAAATGACACAGCCGTGGAGACCGCTTCCCGGTCCTGCAATACGCGCTGCAAAGCGGATCCAGGAGGACGATCGAGGATTCACCACTGGCCGCCATGGGCAGGCCTGGCGAAGCCACCGAGCTCGATCGCAGCGGCAAGAGATACCAAAATCCCGAGGAAGAAGCGATAGCCGAAGATGCACAAAACGATGAAGCAGTGGAGGACAGCGATGACGACGACCGCTTCTTCGAATCGCTCGACCGCGTCCCCTCTGGCGTCTCCCTTGATCTCGATCACGCCTCCTCGGGCTCTGACAGCGATGAGGAGGACAGCGACGTCCGCATCTCCTTCGCCTCCGCCATAGAAGGGCCTCGCTTCTCCATCTGCGTTGCCGACTTCGACGACTACTTTCACGAAGATAACGACGATACCGGCAGCTTCGACTATGGCATCTGGATGGCTGAGCCTGTCTCCCTTACCGAACGCCGTCGCCGCCTACTTCAGGGGATGGGCCTCACAAGCAGAAAAGACCTTGCTCCTTACAAAAGCCGCCGCAACCCCAACCCCGCCTTCCACCTATTCCCCCCTCCTCTATCCCCTTCTTCCGCCGAATCCAACGCAAAATCTACCCATTCTGCACCGGCTCGGCGGCCGTCGCCTCATAAACCTGCCTACCTTTCCCGATACTTTTCCGATTCGCATTTGACTTTCCAAGGGCCGGCGGAAACGGGGCTTATCCGATCGTTCTCCTCGCCGCCGTCCCCATGGCTCCACCGCGACATGGGAAAGAAAAGCGGGGCCTTTCGTGCGAAGGCCGGAAGCAATAAGGAACGTGGCGGTTCAGAAGCAGACAGCGCGGAGACAGTCGCTGTGGCGTGCAAGATAAAAAATTTGGACACTGGAAAGGAGTTCTTGGTGAGCGAGGTCGGAAAGGACGGAACTTGCGGCCGGCTCAACGACGTGCAGACCGGGTTGCAGCTCACCATGGACGAGTTCGAGCGATTCCTTGGCTTCTCCCCCATTGTTAAGGAGCTGATGCGTCGCGTTAATCTCGGTGAAGATAAAAAGAACGGAGGCAATAGCAGCTCAACGCGTCAGGGGTACAGTGGAAAGAGTTCCAAATCCGGGAGGAGGAAGAGGGGAAGCTGGCTGAAGAACATAAAGTTCGTCGCCAGCTCTGTGACGGGCCTCATCTCCGAGAAGGAGAGGTACCCCACCGCTTCGGCCGGCGCCACCATTTCTGGCGTCGTTTTTGGCCGTGGAAAGTCGTCGTCTTTAAATGGGAACTCCTCGGATTGGCTCAAGGTGCATCAGCACGGGAAATCTTACAAGGAGCTTACAGGGCTCTACATGTGCCAAGAGATCCAGGCTCATGAGGGCTCGATTTGGTGCATGAGATTTAGCGCTGACGGCCGATTCCTTGCTAGCGCCGGTGAGGACAGGACCGTTCATGTGTGGCAGGTGAAGGAATCCGACACAGTCTCGACCTTCTCTACATTGCGGCGGCAGGGGTTGAGCCATTCTTCCACTGCGCTGGTGCCAAATATGTCGACGTCTTCTCAGAAGGAGGAGCAGGCTGCGATTATAGGCTCCCACCCTTGGAAGAGGACTAGGAAGGGAAGCAGAAAGCGCTCTCTTCCTGATTATGTTGTCTTGCCGGATAACATTTTCTCGATCTCTGAGAAGCCGTTTTGCTCTTTTGAAGGTCACCTCGGTGATGTCTTGGACCTCTCCTGGTCCAAATCTCAGGTCTCCGTTTTCTTTATGAGCTGAAACCCGTTTTCTTTATTGTGACTTGATCAAAGTTGAATAATCAAATATCTCTTTTCTTGTTCACGATTCTCTGAGGAAAAACACCTTGGTTATTCCATATGACTCTCAAGGGCAGTTAAATAACAAGCTTTGCAATATAAGATAATCCATTCTTCTTAAATCTACTCTATAAATGAAGAAGTTTGATAGAACAGTGTTTTTAGTCGGTTACTCATTTATTTACTTATTACTCTGTCTCATCTATTTTTTTAATAAAATGCAGCAACTTCTTACATCATCAATGGACAAAACTGTGAGACTATGGGACATCAAGAGCAGGTCCTGTCTGAAGTTGTTTGCCCACAATGATTATGGTAAGTTTTTGAATAAAACCTTATTGATGTATTCATTTAAACTAGCTTATCATATACGAAATTTTCCTACTTGCTTTAAAGGAATCATACAAAAAGCCGCTTATCATTGATTTGCAGCAATGTAAGGCATTTCTAATGATTTCTAGCTTTTTTGGCTAATCTTTTGACAGTAACATCCATCCAGTTCAATCCCGTTGATGATGATTACTTCATTAGTGGATCTCTTGATGGCAAGGTTCGCATATGGAGTATACCAAACCGTCAGGTTGTTGACTGGAGTGATCTGCGCGAAATGGTTACTGCTGTATGCTATACTCCTGATGGCCAGGTGCAGCAAAATGTTTCTCTTAAGTAATAGTAGCTTGTTTTGTTTGTTTGTTTTTTTGTTCTCTTGTAGCACTGGTAAGACTATAGAAATCCTGTTAGTGATGACTTTCTCTTTGTTGCAGGGAGCTTTGGTTGGTTCGCACAAAGGAAGATTTCGTTTTTACAATACTTCTGGTATGATGTTTTTTTTTTTTTTAAGGAAAACTTAATGTAATTTTTCAATATCCAATGCAACTTTAAAACATTTTGGAATGAGCTTGAAAGTATGCAAATGCTTCTTATTCTTTTTAATTAATTAAAAAAGAGTTATCTCTATGTAGAGTTGGATAGATCACATAATTTCTCTGAAGCATGCTTCACTTATTTTAGCTTTTCACAACTTAATCTGTTCAGTTTATAGAACAGCCTTCTATATTACCTGGATATTATAAGCGAGTTTAGTTACATTTTTGGAAAACTTGAAGCAGATTACTCTCAGTAAATGTGCCTTGAACCCCGTTCAGCAATTGCCTGCTAGCACCAGCCTCTATTTGCAAAAACAAAAAAAAAAACGGTAGGATTCATTAAACCACAACACTTATTTTCTTGCAAACTATTGAAGAGGTGGTAAAAAAAAAAAAGAATGCAAATGTAACCCTAGAATCTCGAACTCCGAATAAAAATACTGTGTATAAATTTGAACTCTTTTCAAAATTAGCAAAAAATTTCAAGGTAAGAAAACATTGACTATGGTGATGGACTGTCTTCCGTAAGTTCAATTCACTATGAAAGATAGAAGAAAATGGAAGATGAATTTAAGATATTATGATTTCACATAATTTATTTTCGACGGTAAATATGGCTATTTGATTACATGCAAGGAATAATAAAATAGCACTCAATTTGATGCTGAATGTTCGGCAACAAGAATTTGCATGCAAAGAGAATGGTTATCATGATTCTATAGGTGATCAATCAACAGTAGAGGAACCTGGAGAATATGATTTTTGAGATTTATATGTTTGAAAATTTCAGCAAGGCATGGATAACATTGCCTGTTGTGCTTGACTTGCTCAAGATAATGAAAAATTAGTGCAATTGTGGGATTGCATATCTGCTAGAAAGCATAAGTTTCTGAAAATCATTGTAGCTAGCTATCTGAATTCTCTTTTTTTTTTTTTTTCTTTTGGAAATGTTTGACAGATTATAAACTTTCTCAAGAAAGTCAAGTAGATATCAGTAACAAAAAAAAGAAGTCACATGCAAAGAAAATAACCGGGTTCCAGGTGATTTTATTATTTGTTTTCTTTATATTATAATTTACAGGATTCATATTTTGATATCCATAATTTCTCTTTCTTGTTTACTTTCATAATATGGTGACTTTATTGGTTCATTATAATAAAATCCCGATATTAATTTTCTAAATATGCAAAAACACAATATCGGTTATTGGCTTGGTAAGATGTCTAACAAACTTATTTAAACAGTATGCACCGGATGATCCATCCCAAGTCATGGTGACATCTGTTGGTTCACAGATTCGAGTCTTCGATGGTGTTGATGTTATTCACAAATTCAGAGGTTTGGTTCTACCATGATTCTCTGTACAACATCTTGCAATTTTTTTTTTTGGTATAATCTACCTTTTATACTATTACTTTATGTGCTGTTCTTGTCCATTTGAAACAAGTCTTGAGTCTTTGATATATCATTCATTTATAAGAGCGTGTCGATGTTGCAAGAATTGTAGTGACTTTTAAATGAATATAGAAATATGTTGATATATTTGTGCAAACATAGAGGCAAGAAAAAAAGGTAATTAAAAAAATATGTTAAGTATAATATCTTTTATGATGAAGATAAAATATAATAATAAATACTGTGAATTTCTTCAATAACTATTCAACTCATGTGATGATATTGATATGATTGAATCCTTAAACGTTATAATTTTGATTGCTCTAACAGACTAACATTAGAAACGTTCTATCTGATGCTTTAAGTAACCATTGTATTTATGATGTTTCTCTAGATTAACTCTCATCATGGAAGAAGCAAGTCAAGTTTGTAGTTGATGTGAAACCACATGCAAAAGGAGCTTGTTAAGAAATTTTAAGAATCATTGACAATGAAATCTCAATTAATAACTTATTGAAATAACAAGCAAATTCATTAAAGATTCTTGGTTTTCAACTCGCTTAGGCGAAGGAGTACATGTAGATTAACTAATCCTTGGAGATAAACAAAAATAGTAGCAAAGCTAAGAGCTATTAAACAACAATCCACCACTTAATAATGAGAAATTTCACCTTGGGGATTATTCACTCGACTACACTAGGCTTGGCGAGAGAAGATCTTGCAACTAGAATTGAGATCACCACTAGGAAGAAGATGCCGGAAGTCTTTGTCCACGGGAAAGTAGTCGGTGTAGGTGGGGTTGGCGGATGTCCGATGATGATCCAACGACTTGGTGGAAGATGGATCTCATGATCCGCCATTCAACATTGAAGTGGAGAGGGGAGGCGTCGTCTTCTCCTTTCCTTGGCTTCTCTATTCGAGGGAGAAGCAAGATGGGGCGGCGGGAGCTGGAGGAAGAGGGGAGGCCGACGGGTGCAAGGAGAAGGAGAACCAAATAATTTGGTTGAGATTTTTCAAAAGTAATGCAAAAAAGCTGCTCCGCCAATATAACATTGCCCATTTAACTGTCTTTTAACAAAACAGTAAAGTAACAAACAACTTAGCAGCCAAAGTAAACTACTGATTCTTCTTTAGTATTAACAATTATTTAAGCTGATATAAGGGAAATAACTATTGAAAATGGAGGACAAAGATAGTTCTATCCTTTGAACAGGGTGTAATTACCCAAGATTTTCGTCAACTTTAGAAGAACTCGATTTTTGTTTATTGATCAAAACGCCATCAGTAGGGTGCTACTCATAACTATAAAAAATATTGAATGTTGAGAGTTGCTTAAATTGGTGGCATTAATAAAGTATATGCATTATCATTGAACTTTTGCGCTATTGGAGAAGGGTCATATTTGCATGGCTTAACTTGAAGTGCAGGTTGGAAATTGCTCTCTACGAAGATAAATTGTAACCATATCGCCATCTTGTATGAGGCTTCTTGGACCTATGATAACAACTTATAAATTTAACGTCACAATCTGATGTGAGGCTTCTTGAAATCCAATGTAATCGGACAATATCTCTAATAAATATTCAGGCAATGTTAATGGCATCAAAAGTCTTTATGCAAGCAATAGAATGAGACATTTTTTAGAAATAATTAACAACCACCATAATTGAATTGAATCTTCTCTTGATCTTTTGGCTATCCAAGGACAGAATCAAGATTCAAATTCTCCTATATAGTCTGCATAATAGGTAAAAAACATGTACAAAGTTGTGTTTTGCGATTATAAGTTTGGTAGGTATAATATTTCTACATAATGGTTAACATTGCGGTGCAACTTCAGCCAAAAGAATTGAGTTTGTATGAGTGCATAAACCTCCAAAATGCATATCTTAAATTAATTGATCTTGGAGTGATGTATTTGAAAATATACAACTGGTTGCCCTTAAACAAATATCCCAATCTCTGCTTGTAGTCAGAGATCAATGAATTGGAGCGGCAGTGTTTCTATGGATCTGCAAAGTCATCATCAGAGGCATGATGCTCGTTAATAGTTTTTATCCTAGTGATCATACTTTGGATAACAACCAGTAGACTTGTTTTTTGACTAAGAGCATGCTACTCTGTTACATTTTCCTGCCTTATGATTAAGCACGAAATTGAATTTTTGTAGGAACATAACACATCTCACATGCATACGGCTCAATTTTTTGTTAGGTTGCAAGAGTTTTAGTGATTTGTGATCACTATATAAATAGACACTTGGTGAATCAAGTAATGCTCCTAGTGCTTGGGGGCTCTGACTATGGCATATTGCTCATGTTCGTAAGTTGATCACTTATGTTTTACAATACTGAACTTATCATGAAAAAATTTGACGTGTCTTACAATAGTGCTGCACCAGTGCTTGCTACATATGTTTCAAACTCAACTTGGAACAGTTTCTTGAAATCTAGTATTCTCAAAATCAGAGCCTTGCATAGAGTCAGTTTGATATTCTCAAAGATGGTTTGTTGTTGGGATCCCTAAACAATGGTTTTTTGTTTCAAATAATCATTAATTGGGACCGTTAAGATTGATAAATCCTTGTATGAATTCTTTTATAGCATAAAATGACGGCCTTCCGATGAGCAGGTTAGGAAACTAGATGTATTAAATTTGGCTTATGTTAAGAAAGAGGTAGATCTAAAAAGACTTGGTTAGAAAATATTAGAAATGATATTTCTTTATTAGATTTAAATGAGAATTTAGCTTTTAACATGACACAATAGAGAAAAAAGATTCATGTGGCCGACCCCATGTAGTAGGATAAAAGCTTGTTGTTGTTATTGTTGTAATTTGCTAAGCCATGAAAACTTTGAATTTTTTGTGATTGAGGTTCCGATCAATCATGTCTAAGTTATCGAGATCTTGCTGGGGTTAGTTTGGATACTTTGAGAGCTAATAATGAAGTCCAAGAAGTGTACAATTGATGCAATCAAAAATTT